AAAGAGAATAGGAATTAGGATAGGATAGGATAGGATAGGATAGAAGTATAGAATGGAATGGAATGGAATAATGGAACAGAACAGGAAAGAATAGCATAGAGTAGAATAGAATCGAAAAGAATAGAATTAGAACAGAACAGAAAAGAAAAGAAAATATGGAATGGAATAGAATTAGAATAGAATAGAGAATGGAATAAGAATAGAATAGAATAGAATAGAATAGAGTAGAGTAGAATAGAATAGAATAGAATAGAATAGAATAGAATAGAATAGAATAGAATAGAATAGAATAGAATAGAATAGAATAACAGAGTTGGAAGGGACCTTGGAGATCTTCTAGTCCAACCCCCTGCTTAGGCAGGAAACCCTATAACCACTTCAGACAAATGGTTATCCAATCTCTTCTTAAAAACTTCCAGTGTTGGAGCATTTACAACTCCCAGAGGCAAGTCGTTCCATTGATTAATTGTTCTAACGGTCAGGAAATTTCTCCTTAGTTCTAGGTTGGTGATGAAGTAGTGTGGACTTCAATTCCTAGAATTCCCCTACCAGCATAGATGGATAGCTGGGGAATTCTGGGAGTTGAAGTTCACTCCTCTTGAAGTTGTCAAAATTGAGAAATGCCGATTTAGATGTTTAGGTTATCTTTCTATATCTCTGAAATTCAGGGATAAATAGCCATCCGTATGAGCTCAAAAATGCTGCTACAAATAAGTGTAAAGCTTTAGCAAATGTCAGAAAAACACACCAAGTTGCAGAAATACATGAATAATTTTTAAAAGGAGGACTCCCAAATTGCCCTGTGAGGCCTAGTACTCTCAGCGGGGGAGACAAACAGATTTATTTTTACTCACAGGTGGTCCTCGAATTACAATAGTTCCTTTACTGACCGTTTGAAGTTACAACAGCACTGAAAATAAGTGACTTGTAGCCATTTTTCACACTTATGGTCATCCCCATGGTCACGTGATTAAAATTCAGACACTTGGCAATTGACTCAGATTTATGACCGTCACAGTGTCCCGGGGTCATGTGATCCCCTTTCGCGACCTCCTGATGACCACAATCAACAGAGAAGCCAGATTCACTTAACAATGGTGTTACTAACTTAACAATTGAAGTGATTCACTTAACAACTGCGACAGGAAAGGTCGTAAATTGGAACGCTTAACCACTTTCTCCCTCAGCCACAGAAATTTTGGGCACAATTGTGCTCATAAGTCAAAGACCACCTATGTCAACTTTACATGCCATTCACCTCGCGGTTGCGAGGTGACACCGAACAGCTTACAACATAATAAAACATATGGAAATAAAAGCCATTATAAATTCAACACCAGATTAAATTACAAGAGTATAAATGATTTTTTTAAAAAAAAAATCATCCCACAGTGGAGTGGTGGAGTGGCTTTTCTGTTACTACACCAGCAGAGATAGTGTAGATAAGAGAGTGGTTGTAAGAGAAGAATAAATTGGCCTTCCGTTCTTCAAAACACTGCTTTAAATTTGGGAGAGAAAAAAATGATATAATGAGAAGATTCAAAGGATGCAAAGACTTACGAAGAAAGGTTTAACTATTATATCTGTGGGTCCCTCACCTTTGTGGTTTTTAATTTCATTTTTTCCTACTTTTTCAATAAACGCACACACACACACGGAAAGGCACTCGTGTAAATAGAACCAGCTGTAATTGTCTGAATAGACAATTAGATAAAGATATTTTCCTAGATAAAGACCAAGACACATCAGTAATAATGATGATGATAATTTTGCAAAATACATCAAGAATTTGCAGCTTCCTGCAATAACACCAGTAGAACTGCAAAAATACTGCACCACTACTCAGAACAGTGTACATTTTAAGCAGATACTTGGTTGACATACCTAGGAGGCTAGCAGCAACCCATATCCTCCATCAAAGCCAGTCAGTGATATTTGTGATACATTTTTAAACGTTCAGTTGACTAAGTTTCATGTTTAATGAATAAACATTTATAATAATAACAACAACAACAGCAGTAACAATCAATTGAAGATAGCCTTAATACGTATTTCTGCCTTCCTCGTTCCTGAAAAAGGACCATAAAAATGACAGCAGAGGGAAGTTCCCTAACAACTTTTTTTTTTTTTTTTGGTACGAAACATTTTTAAAAATTTAATCTTGATCATAAAAATTCCAAAGGAATAGAAGGTTAGAAATTTGTAGTTACAGCCTCTCAGATTGGAGGGGGGGGGAAATAATGTCTTGATTATCCAAAGAGGAGAGCATTGTTCAATTAAGAGAACCATCATTTAATCCAAGATTTTGTTTTTTTTTATTTTCCTATATTTCAGCAGGAAAGTCCAGTACTTTTTTTCCCGAAGACAGTTTTATAGAAACCGGGGAGATTGATGTCGGCAGACGAGTCACGCAGAAGATCCCTCCCAGCATATTTTGGAGATCTCAGGTGTACATCGACCATCCTGTACATTTGAAATTTAATGTTTCATTGGGAAAATCAGCTCTGGTTGGGATTTACGGACGAAAAGGACTCCCACCTTCGCACACCCAGGTGAGGTGGACTCTGAGGAGATACAAATAAAACTAGAATGATTAGTACTCATGCTTTGAACGTAGGATGCAATAAAGGTAGTCCTTGACCGGCAGCCCGGGCAAAAATTTTCTCTCTCACCACAGGCTAACAAGTCTGTCCAGCAGGGAGATGAATAGTTGTCTGTCACATCTATTCATCTCCGCCCCCTGCCTTTTATCCCCAGAGCTAGGGTGGGGCTTCACTAGCAGCTATGGCTCTTCCGTCCCAAGGACCGGCCCATAGATTTCCTCTCCTCTGCCTTCTGCGCATCTATGCATCAGGCACTGGGCCCAGCTGTTCCTCCTCTTCCTCATCAGCCACCTCCAGATCTGGGGGCTGTTGACTCTCCATCTGAGGGCTGATGGACAGCCCAGGCTCAGCCTCTCTCTCTCTCTCCCAGTTCCATTCTCCCTTGGAGCTCCCGTCCTGAGGACCGGCCCATAGATTTCCACTGCTCTCCTCTCCTCTGCCTTCTGTGCATCTATGCATCAGGCACTAGGCCCAGCTGTTCCTCCTCTTCCTCATCAGCCACCTCCACACCTGGGAGCTGTTGACTCTCCATCTGAGGGCTGACAGACGGCTCAGGCTCCGCTTCTGTCTCTCTCTCTCTCTCTCTGCCAGCTCTATTTCCTCTTTCCCCCTTGGAGAGGTCAGGTTGCCCCGATGCTGACCCTGATTCCCACACCTCCTCCTCCTCATCTGATTCAGCTGCTGGAGGAGCCAGTGGCCAACAAGCCATAACAATTCGTTTAGTGACCATTCAAAGCTCCAACAGCACGGCAAAGAATAATTTATGACTGTTTTTCCACACCTACGATCGTTGCAGCATCTCCGTGGTCACGTGATCAAAATTTGGATGCTTGGCCACTGGCTCATATTTATGACGGTTGCGGTATCTTCCCAGGGTCATGTGATCCCCTTTTGCGACCTTCTAACAAACAGAGTTAATGGGGAAGATTTTCTTAACAGTCATGCTACTAACGTAACAATCACCGCGATTTACCTAAGATCAGTGGCAAGAAACATTGTAAAATGGGGCAAAACTAACTTAACAAGGTCTCACTTAGTGACAGAAATGTTGGACTCAGTGGTGGTCGTAAGTCGAGTACTGTTGAATTTCGTTTTCTACTATCTCTTAAGATTTTAGAGGAAGCTGGGATCACATAGTAAATCAAGCTAAGGCAAGATTTTAGATCATTCTGAAAGGGATCCTAAAGTTTCTCTTCATGGCTGTAGAGTTTGGGTGCCACCACTGAGAAGGCCCTGTCCGGTCTTCCCTTCAATGTTTCAACGGGAAATAGAAGAGGCCATTTTTCAAGTGTGGGGACACTTGTGCTCATCTGAGGCATATTTTGTAGATTTTTAATTTCTGTCTTACACATTTGCAGGTAGTCCTCGACTTACGACTATAAAGGAGCGTGTCTGTTATGGTTGTAAGTCATGACAGTCGTAAAGTGGGTCACCCATGTGATCTACCTGATTATACATCTGTTCCAGCCATCGTTAAATGGTGATCGTTTAACGAATACAGTCCTTAAGTGAACACGATGGTCATTGAATGAACCCATTGTAGAATAGAATAGAATTCTTTTATTGGCCAAGTGTGATTGGACACACAAGGAATTTGTCTCTGGTGCAAATGCTCTCAGTGTACATAAAAGAAAAGATACATTCGTCAACAGTCAAGAATCATCAGGTACAACACTTAAACATCTTGTTTACTGGGATTCAAAAAATTTTTACTACCGGTTCTGTGGGCGTGGCTTGGTGGGCATGGCAGGGGAAGGATATTGCATTCCCTCCCTACCCCACTAACCTGCTTTCCAGCTCCGTTCTCCTGTGTAGGGCAACCAAAGAAGACCGAGACGATCAGCTGGGACTCAATGGGGAGGCAGAGAATAGTCAGAGGTGGTATCGGCTGGTTCTCTGAACTACTCAAAATTTCCACTACTGGTTCTCCAGAACTGGTCCAAACCTGCCGAATACCACCTCTGCTATGGACCGATTCTGGTTGAAAACTGGAAGTAAATTCCAGGGTTTTTGGTGGCCATAAATAACTTTTTTTTTTTCAGTGCTGTTGTAACTTTGAATGGTTACTAAACCTAATTATGATGAAGTCAAGGATTATCTCTAAGCAGGACCTGAACTTATTTGGGTGGGTCTCCATTTCAACACACGTGTTCTTCCCATTTGTGTGTGTGTGTGTTTCAGTTTGACTTTGTTGAGCTTCTGGACGGACGGAGGCTGCTAAGTCAGGAAGCCAGGAATCTAGAAGGACCCCAACGACAGCCAAAGGGATCTGTGCCGCCAGCCAGCCATGAGACAGGATTTATTCAGTATCTGGATTCTGGAATGTGGCACCTGGCCTTTTACAACGATGGAAAAGAATCTGAGTTGGTCTCCTTTCTCACCACCACTATTGGTAAGGGCATCTTACATTTCACTGATAGAAGGGAATATCTGTAGCTCAGTGTTGAACTGGGGGACCCTTGGTGCTAACTAACAACACTGATGATGTTACCTAGTTGGGTAATGAAATGTCTGCAAGAAAAACACCAAGTTCAGAGAGCACCAAGGACTCCACAATTGCCATCTTCCTCCTCCTCCTCTCCACTTCCTTCTAGCATTGATGCTGTTACCTAGTTTTGTAATGAAATGTCTGCAAGAAAACCACCAAGCTCAGAGAGCACCAAGGACCTCTCATCTATGTTTTTTAGCTGGCTCAATGAACCAGATCCTAACTCTTGTCCTGCCCTTAGGTGCTTTGGGGAATAGGTTGAATCCCCATCAGAAGACTGCTATCATATCATCCCTAGTCCTTCTTTTCATTAGACTAGACATACCTAGTTCATACAACATACAGTAACCTACAACATGAACATAGTTCGTGATAATATAACAGTAAATTTAATATGTTCATGCAACTTAACAGGACCAAAAGCTAGCTTTTCGTAACTTTCCGTAAACCTCGGCCTATCCAATTATATAATAGATTAATTGCATGATTTCTTAAACTTGTCCACTTCCAGAGATGTGGGCTTCAAGTTCCAGAATTACACAACTTGATGACAATTTTGGGAGTTGAAGTCCACGACCCTGAAGTTGCCGGGGTTAGAAAACACACTGGAGTCTCATTTTGCAGGAAACCGACAAGTTTGTCGAGTCAGTTTTTGGTAAAATGTTCTTTGTTTACTCTTTTTATATGCTCTTCGACTTGACACACTTAAGGTGAATAATGTCATAACACAGTTCGTGTGTTGCAGCCAAAGAAGCACAAACGTGATCTTGTGAGGATGAAAGGAAGTATCTTAATTGAATATTTAATACCAAATAATATGGACTGCATTTTCTTTTCTTTTTTTTTACCAACTTTAACATTGTTTTTATTAGATTATAAAACAACATGGAAAAGCAAATAGGAAAACACATTTTCAAAATGGCTGCTTCTCCAAACCCTCCTTCTCTTTCTGATAAATCTATCCATGCGGGACACTTTTCAGTTTGAAGGGTTAAATTTCAATTGGATAGACCATACTCTTCTGGGAATGGATGACACTGAAATAGGGTGTCTTCTTTTGGCTATCTAGGAATTCACATTTAATCCAATAATTTCTTAGAGTTGCAATATGACGTGGTTTGGCCAACAGTCTCAGTGGTCAGTTTTCTTTTTCACTTGATTGAAACCTGAGTATGTTGTTATTGGAAGAACCCTCATTTGATTCTTCTGTTCATTTTGACATAAGTTATTTCTTTTCAAACAAACAGCAGGGGACTCTCATTACAATCACGTAGGTTAATCCTCTCTACAACTGCTTTATATTTCAACTATGTTTAATATCTGTTAATCCACCTCGCTGTAAATCACAGACTCTTGTATGAAAATTTACACATACAACGTGCCCAACTATGGGGATTATTTAATGGTCTAATTTTTTTTCCCCTGGATTGCAAAATGATGCTTCGTTGTGAGACTGATATTTCTCCTTCTTCCCTAAGCAGCTTTAGTGTTGCATCTCAGCTGTATTCAATAACAACCTGAGAGCCATTGGCTGTAATTTGTCTTGGCAGGTTAATTAAAAGTTTAGTTCTTATTAAAGCAAAGTCATTAAGGGATGCAGTATAGCATTTATTTATTCATTTATTACATACCCTGAGAGTTGATTTAATCTCTGGTTGAAATGCATCGGTAGGTAACCCTTGACTTACAGCCATTTGTTTAGTGACAATTCAGAGTTACAGCGGCCCTGATCAGAGTGACTTCTGGCCATTGTTCACAATTACTGTTACACGATCAAAATGTGGACATTGTTAAAGGTTGCAAAATTTGTACGCCATGATGGTTGCAGTGTCCTGGGGTCATATGAACCAAAGGGGAGGCCAAATTCACTTAATAACCAGTTACTAACTTAGCATTTGCAGTGATTCTCCTATGGCAAGGAAGGTCATAAAATAGGGCAAAACTCACTTAACAGTTGTCCTGCTTAACAATGGAAAATTGGGGTTTAGTTGTGGTTGTAAATCAAGGACTACCTATTCTACTTTTGGGCTGAAATGTTTCATTCTTTCCTGTTCCATCAACATGCTTCATATCCTTGAAGTTGAATTATGTCAAAAAGCACCACATTGTAATCTAATCTCAGGCACGTCCCTTGTAGTGGACAGATGAGAGGTTGTTTCTCTATAGCAATTCTTCCAAAAGTTTCTCTTGTACTCATTGTTCTTGAATACATTTTGCCTTGTGGTTTGCACTTTTTCTATTAAAGCCATGTTTCCCAACCTTGGCAAAATTTAAGAGGAGTGGACTTCAACTCCCAGAATTCTCAGCAATGCTGGCTGTGGAATTTTGGGAGTTGAAGTCCATCTACCTGGAAATTGTTGAGGTGAGAGATCCCTATTTTGAAGACATGGGTGTTGTTCCATGCTGAACAATAAAAAAAAAATGTTTGGCCTATCTCTAACTCGTGGGCGAAACTACCATGTTATGCACCACTTAAACCAGTCTCAGCTTTAGCCAGTTTAAGATGGGTGGACTTCAGTACCCAGAATTCCTCAGCCAGCTATGCTGAGGAAATTCATACTCCGATTTGCCAGAATGAGGAATGTCACTAGAGATATTTTGGTGGATTTTATTAGAATAAAGACAAAAAATCAAGTCCTGTGCATTTTAACACAAAATTGAAGATGGATAATACAGATATAATTGTTCTGAAAGAGATTGCTATGAGAATTCTGCATAAGAGTTCCCTTTGATCTGTTGGATAATTTAGAGTTGGTATATATATATACTAGCTACCTCTGATAGATAGATGGATGGATGGATGGATGGATGGATGGATGGATGGATGGATAGATAGATAGATAGATAGATAGATAGATAGATAGATAGATAGATAGATAGATAGATAGATAGATAGATAGATAGATAGATAGATAGATGAGGTAGCTAGTTGAGGAATTCTGGGAGTTGTAGTCCACAGGTCTTAAAGTTGCCAAGTTTGAGGACCCCTGATATACAAAGACAAAAGACAGTATATTTATTTTTCAGAAAGACACAGATCTTTTTCAAAAGTAGACTCAAGAAAGCAGAGTAGCAGAACGTATGAATCTAGCTAGATTCTCACCCAGAACTGTGAAATCCAGCAATTTAGACCAGTGCTTCTCCATTTTGATGACTCTAAAAAAAAGTGGACTTTGACTCAGAATTCCCCAACCAGAAATGCTTAAACACCTTAAAAAGCTCCGAGACTAATTCATAACCCTTCTACATCTCCTCCCCTCTACTCTTGAGGGATCTCTCTAACAAATAAAGTCACCAATAAACTGATAAAGAGAGGGGTTTTTTTTCCCTCCAAAGGTACCTCTCCTGAACTTCTTGACACCTGAAAATATACGGTAGGCCATAACCATTTTCAGCCAAACCATGACAAAGTACTTGGCAGGAAGTACCTGCACACTTGGCAGGAAACACAAGGAGGAAGCAATAGAGTAATGACTTTTCCTTGTAATATGTCCCTTCCATTCTCTCTCCTTGCAAATTAAAGCAAAAGATACCTTTCCCTCCCCCTCTCTCTCTCTGTAATGAATTAGCTTCCTTGCGAATGACTTTGGCAGCGTTTTTGTAACACAGACGCTCTTCCGTAAATTGCCTGGTGGATTCACCTCTGCCACATATATACCGTGATTTATTTGGGACAATCTGGTCCTGAGTGGAACAAAAGAGCAGGCCAGAGAAGAGCTGAAATCAGCACATCTGGGGCAGAGGTTGGCTAAAAACCAAAAACCTGTTCAGAAATGGCAGGGAATAGCCGAGCTTCTTTTCAGCCGTTCCTGATGTCAACTTTGGAGAACCAAGACGTTCTGGCCCAGGTCCCCCAAACATGACAAACCCTCTGAAGTGAACTCAAAGATTCCTTTAATTAGGAGTGCCGGCAGCCCCGCCAAAAAGTTTTTGTCTCGCCTCAGGCTAACAAGGCCGTCCGGCCAGAAGATGAATAGTTGTCTGCCACATCTATTCATCTCCGCCCCTGCCTTTTATTTCCAGAGCTAGGATGGGGCTTTGCTAGTAGCAGTGGCTCTTCTGTCCCTAGGACCGTTCCATAGATTTCCACTGCCCTCCTCTCCTCTGCCTTCCGCATGTCAGGCACTGTACCCAGCTATTCCTCCTCTTCCTCATCAGCCACCTCCAGACCTGGGGGCTGTTGACTGTCCACCTGAGGGCTGAGGGATAGCCCAGGTTTCACCTCTGTCTCTCTCTCTCTCTCTCTGCCAGCTCCACTCCCTCTTCCCTGTCATGCCCCTGTTGGAATCTGATTCCGAGGGGGAGGCTGAGCAGCTGAGAGGGAGTGGGAGTGTGGCTCCATTGGCTGTGGAAGAAAGTGGGGAATGGCACAGTCCAGCTGGGCAGAGCAGGGGAGAGGTAGAGCAAGGCAGAGGGAATTCAGAGGAAGATCCTCGCCCAGCCCCTCTTCATCCTAGGGCACGTAAGTAGGAACAGAGAAGGGAGCAACGTGAATTGCATGTCTTACGGGGGAGGAAAGGGCCCTGATTCCCTTCATTAAGCTGCAGCTGGGAACACAGTGTTTAAAAAGGGAGTTTGCGCACAGCAACTTGTTGGAAACAAATCGTGTATTATCTTGTTTTGTCGAGGCTCATCTGGGTTCCTGGCGTCTTCCCAACTGTGTGTGTTTTGTTGGCCTTTCAAGTCTACAATTCCTACTCCTGCCCTGTCAAGTTAATTAATGCAACGTGGTTTGTGTGGATTTTTAGTTACAGTTTGTATGTAGTTTGTTTTCGGATTGAATTTCCTCCACTTAAAGACTGTTCTTGGGAGAGTTTTTTTTTTTCTCCAGCCGAAGGTAAACGGACCTTGAAGGCAAACTTGGAGATATTAAAGGGACTTTTCTTACTGACGTAACTAGGTTG